CTTATGAAGGAATATAAACTTCCAACAGTTAAGATTAATAGCTTAAAATAAAGACTATATCCAGTCACAGACATTTTCAATAACAAACTGCCCCCAAATGCCCTGGTACAGCCGAGACTGAGAAGAGTCCGCTCTCCCTCTCCAAATACTCTCACATGACCACGCGAATACATAGCCTCTGCCAGGGAAGTCCTACTCACTGCCTTCTCGTGGCACCGGTGTTGTTTACGAAACTGAGAGGACGAAAAGCGAATGTCCGGCGCTTTAACCGGGCTGGTGGACACGGAAACTTCACCTAGGGGAGTTGGAAAACCCTGATTCAAAACCAATGGTGCACATAGGCTCCAGTATCCTGAAGGAACAAATGACGTATGAACCAATCGTTGGTCACCGGCTACCATGGGACTGCATCTCCTTAAGATGCTCCACTGCCTTGTGGATCAGACTTCTAGGTCAAAGGCTCGGGATGTGGCCCCCTAAGAAAACCACCTGCTTCAATCTGGGCACCTGGGCAGTATCACAGCCCTCACACAAATCAAATGAGATCTGTGAGGCGCATATTTATCTGGTGCTTTTTGTACCAATATTTATGTGTTTAAATAAATAAATAAATAAAATCAATAACAAACTAGTCAAATTCACCAACAGTTCAGAAAGGTGACACTATTATATGTCCTATGACTATTCAGACTAGGTTCCTACAAATAGTAATAGTGAGAGTTAGTGTTACTTATTTAAAATAATTTCCTGATAATATGTTGATTCCATTTACGTTAATTTTTGCCACAATGCTGTCTTAGTAAGTTCACACACCCAGACTCAAGCTATCCCGACATGAGATATCAGTTGAGGTGTGACAAAATTGCCAGGATGGTCAAAAAAGATATGGTGTTTAGCTGTAAAGTCAGTGATCGATTAGATGAGTTATAAAAGGCAATAAAGACTATGTACCGAAGGTGAAAGGCGAAAGCTTCTAATTGTAAAGTTCTAAAATTAGCAAACAGAGTGTATATAAATTTACTCTCTGCCTTCTGATTAATCAGTAGAATTTCAAGGTTATACCGAATATTAGTAAACATTTTTCGATAAGTATATCTAATAGGTATGATGGAATGGAGTGCTGTTAATTTCTGTAAAATCCTATTAAATGTGTTGATAACAATAAACGTTATCTCAATAAGTGTCTCATATATTACCACTCGATTCGACAGATGCAATTTGTCCATCAGAATGTTGCACTACACGTTCATGTTGTTGAAACTGACCAGAACCACCTATTGCCATATGATTTTGTGGTGTAACTTGTAAATTATTTGGAACATGAGAAGCAGAAGAAACAAGATACTGCTGATACATAATAGGATTCCCGACAGTAGATATTGTTGTAGGACCGACTGCCATAGGTACTGGATGCTGAACTGACGAATTAACTGTAATTTGATGAGGTTGTCCAAGAACGGACGACTGGGACAGATCCGATGATGCGTTAACTACAGATAATTGATAATTTGGTGCCGAGTCTTGAATTTGATTAGGTTGAGTCAAACTGGAAGGAATTGGGTGTGAACAACTTGTTGGTCCAACTGCATGTTGGGTCGCTGTACGGTCAGCAATTGTGGCTAAATAAATAAGATTACGGTGTAAAACACGTTCTAATTCCACTGCTTCTTTAACGGCTCCAACTCTTTGATGTGCCATAAGACTATGTATAAGTCGGACGTTTTCATCTAGCATCTATTAAAGGAGAGGAAAATATCAAGGTATCGAACTAGAAGTTTACAAAACCCATAAACACCAAAGTCCAATAAAAAGCAAACGAAATCTTTTAAAATCAATCTATGTCAAACAATATCATAAGCTAAAATGATGGAATTTAAGAAGTAGGCCAATGAAGGTATAAAAGTTGGAAATAAACGGTGAATTTTTAAGACCCCAGAATGATTTACACATAAAAGTGAATCACCTTGCAGAGTAATACTTAGAAAGCAATACAGTTACTATGTCAACCAAAATAATGTTACGAGTTATGAAACCAGCAGTAAAATCAAGCTGTGAGGTTGGTCTATAGCTGGAAATATAGGGACGGAAATCTATGAAAATTTCTAATATTTTTTTAGCATCTAGCATCAAAAAGACATTTGATTATTTACTAAAGACTGAACAACCAATTCAATGTGATTAATTTTTTGCAAAGGCTGAAATATCTTTCACAAGAAGAATGTAGGAGCGCTAGAGGAACTATGTATATTACCCAACAGAGATAAGGTTTATAAAGGTTATTCATGGAGTAGTTATATCTATAATCTGTCTTTGTGAAGTACGCTGGACTTTAATTCTATGGTCGTCTAACTTTTCCGGAATTTTTAGCATTAGCCTTACGACAAGGTAACATAAACTACCATATATCTAAGGTTTCGACTAACTAAAAGCATCAAAGTAACAATGAAATCAGTTTATGTTATTTAGAAGTGGACCATTCAAGTAATTGTAAACCTAATGTGGGAAAAGTATTATTGAAAATCTAAATGTGAATCAATTACCTTTTGAATCGATGAAGGTTGTATAGGCTGCTCGCGTCGCAAATGTCCAGGTTGCATGGAGATAGTTGGGAGAATTTTAGACGGAGATCTATCTATAACAATAATGATAGAAACAACAATAAGTTATTATGATAAGTAAAATATGCACCCCTATATTATAATTTCGTCCATGGAAATGTATTAATCAAGGAATAATAAACAGGTTAATTGGAGCAAATCTTTACATCACAAGCTTCGTATGTAAAAAAAATACTTCATGAGCTAGTAAATAATCTGTTTTGATATATATATATATATAACGTCGTTTCGATATAAATAAATATTTCTACCATGTAGAAATAAAGTCATATTATATCGTTAATATATTTAACAATACTTGATATAGATTAAGAGATATTTACACAAGATAGCCCCCAAATTCCCTGGTACAGCCGAGACTGAGAAGAGTCCGCTCTCCCTCTCCAAATACTCTCACATGACCACGCGAATACATAGCCTCTACCAGGGAAGTCCTACTCACTGCCTTCTCGTGGCACCGGTGTTGTTTACGAAACTGAGAGGACGAAAAGCGAATGTCCGGCGCTTTAACCGGGCTGGTGGACACGGAAACTTCACCTAGGGGAGTTGGAAAACCCTGATTCAAAACCAATGGTGCACATAGGCTCCAGTATCCTGAAGGAACAAATGACGTATGAACCAATCGTTGGTCACCGGCTACCATGGGACTGCATCTCCTTAAGATGCTCCACTGCCTTGTGGATCAGACTTCTAGGTCAAAGGCTCGGGATGTGGCCCCCTAAGAAAACCACCTGCTTCAATCTGGGCACCTGGGCAGTATCACAGCCCTCACACAAATCAAATGAGATTTTTGAGGCACATATTTATCTGGTGCTTTTTGTACCAATATTTATGTGCTTAAAAAAATAAATAAATACACAAGATAACAGTATCTCACGAAGTGAGCAAAATGTAAACAGGAAAATCGCAGTATGGGAAAAGTAGAGTTGTGCAACATGAAGCGGAACTTCCCAGTTCATCAAACTAAGGGTTTAAGCGTATATAAGGTCACACTTTAATTAAAAGCCGAGTTATTGCAATATTGCGTGAAACGGTAGTGTAGGCGTACTCATTTTTATGTTCCCTTAGATCTTGAGCTTTAATGTTACTACATACGTTTTATTCCGCGAATTCATTCCTCCCTTTTAAGCGATAATCATGTTTGGTTTTTGATAATATCTATAGTGTTTGTGAACTCAAACATTTGATCGACGACATAAGAGAAAATCAAACTTTGATCAAAGTCCATATTTTCTATTTGAAAAGTCCCATAAACGAGCTACGTGATTATATTTAGGAAACCAGACTTGTAGCCATAATTGTTTCTGCTTCGTTTTGTATTAAAAACAATTTCGGAAAGCAATTACAAACTGTCAATGTTAATTTATATACGGGTAAACCTGCAACATGAAGAAAGACCTTGTAAAACAAACTCAACGCGCTGTTTACCAAGTACTTAGATTTCTATTGAAATGGTATGTATAACAAGACACGTTACCGAAAAAATTTAATATCCGATACAAGTGTCACTACAACAAAACGGAATTTACAAACTCGTAGTTTAAAGGTTGTCGTTTCTATATTTTGTAAAGTTTTTGTGACCTGTAATTATTTCAAATGCGTGCTTTGAATAGGTATAGTTCCGATGTCTACTAACATGTACTAACATGTCTACTAACATGTGTACTAACATCCTTTGAAGCTGACAAGTAACAGAACACATTCTTTTGCAAACAAGATGCAATAAGTTTATTGCCGTAGTTGATATTGGAATTTTTGTTGCAGTCAACACGCACCTCGAAAGGGACGGGACCTATTAAAGTTTCAGTTACTTAGTGTTAATGTCGCATTATATATACACGTTTTTAAAAAATCTCCAAACAAGTTCAAGAATAGAAGTTTCATCTTCCTAAACGAGATAATGGATACAATCCAACGTGTGGTCAGTAGGTTCCCACTAACACTGTGGTTACGCTTAATTCACCAAGAACAAAGTACATTTTACATAGGAATACTAACAGATCACTTTTACAGCACAATATCAAAAGCCTATAATTATTTGAAACTATTTCGCGCGTGTTTGAAAAAGGGCAGTGATTTTGTGCTTGTTTTGATTATCGTTGCTTTTGTGTACTTGTTGCATCCAAAAGCATTCTTGGTCTACTTTAATTCGAAGTGTTTCGGTTAAGATTTAAAAATTTGCTAAACTTTGTCCTGTGGTACCTTCTTTCTCATAGACTCTGACACGTGTGTTACTATTGTGATTTAAACCCTAATCTGACTATAATGGTTGGCAGTGCTTACAAATGTGGACAGCCGAACTGTTTATTCCCAGTGGATGAAGGAATGCAGTGTGATGAGTGTAAAAAGTGATTCCATAAGATGTGTACCTGTTCACGTCCCGCCTCATACAAAAGATGCTCGAAATCTAACTCGCATTGGTTTTGCACGTTTTGCTAACAAATAGGACGTTACTAATCCAGGAGGCTATGAGCCTATTAGCTATGGCAAGTAAAAAGAAAGATAGTGGTTGCACTGTTAACATAAGTACTGCCAGTAAAGAATGTGTCAGTGTCGTACGTGCTGTTACAGGACGTGTTAAACACCCTACTGTGATTGACGGAAAAGTGAAATTTCCGTTAAAACTAACGAAGAGTGAAGCGCTACTCGATATTGACATGAGTAGCCATGCATCTCCAGTGGAAAGTGAAGACCCGGATAAAACCGTGACCATCCTAAATGTGGCTGTCCTCAGTGATGAAAAATGGACGACAGTACGGAGAAAAAGTGAAAAAAAGCTAAAAGTAATACGCTTTTGGTTGGCAAGTCATTGGTGAACTCGCATTCTGAGCCACAAAATACGCTACCAAACTCTGATAGTAAGGCAGAATTGCAGCCCGACGTGACCGAGAATTTAATCTCTGAGTCCAGGCTTGAGATGCAGAGGGAGGATGCCAGGCGGCACATTGGTGATGACTGTGTCGGAAGTTAGTGCAAGCCAGAAACAGGTTGTGCTCTGTGCACGGTTGCAGCAAACGGTCCCCGTTATCTGTCCTGCGACCAACAAGTCCCTTTCGGTCACCTAAACGACTCTCTTCTGTGCCTAGACGCCCGACCTGAGCATTCAAGTCTCCGGCTAGTACTACAATATCTGTCGAACGCGCTTTCTGAAGAAGAACTGTTAACTGGTGGTAAAACTCATCCTTGATGGCATCCGGGCTGCAATCTGTCGGGGCATAGGCGGAGATGACGAAAAGACACCGTTTCTCACGCCGATTTCTCCCTTTGATGGAAGTTTTTAATCTAACAGCACCTAGCCGACTGTTAATGGGGATCCAGTCGATTAGTGCTGCCTCAGCCCTAGCGCTTAGTGCGACACCAACGCCGGAAAGACCAGACGAGGATGCCACAGGGTCCCCGGATAAACGCACGTGAAACAAGCTTTTCGAGGCGACATATGGAGAGCGAATTTGTAGTACTTTACCAGAGTCTTGAATAATGATCTCGGATAGACAACAAACATCAACATTAAGACTTTCTAAAGACATAGCCAGCCCTATCTATTGTCCGATCTGCATTAGCGTGCGAACGTTGAAGGAAGCCAGTTTGAACGGCGTACGTGGTTTCAGAAAAACTGTTTCAGTATTCATATTCGGTGGAAGCATTCACTTTCGACCAGACAGTGATTGGAGATCGTTTAGATAGGACAGAGTTTCCACCATGGGCGAGCTGCTGCATAGGTTGAAAAATGGGGGTACATGAAGTGGGGATAGAGGAAGGTAAGTGATATAGTATATAAAAAAATTATTTGGTGGAATGAGTTCAACACCGAGGGACTAAAATCGTGAAAGGTCTATCTGGCCTATCTTATGAAGATAGACTGAGACACCAACTTATTTCCGTTATCTTACCGTAGAAGACGGGGTGACATAATATTGACTTATCGTATCCTGAACAATGGCCTTAGTATTAATGTCTTATCTTTTCCCTCCGTCTAGGACTGATCATTTGAGAGGACATTCAAAGAAAGTTTAAAAACTGAGATCAAATTGTCTACGTCTAGAGTTTCGTTTCCCGCACCGAGTAGTGGATTACTGGAATTCTATACCAGAACACATATTACCAGCACGTTCTGTTGACATATTCGAAACCAAATTCGACCTCGACATTGTAACAAACTGCAAGGATTTATATAGACCAATAGACCTATCCTTATTAATGAAGACTAAGGACAATTATACATTGTTTATTCCTGTAAACAGGGAATTCTAACCTGGCTTGTTTACACTTATATACTTAAGTGGTCAGGGTAAAATTATCTTCTATAATCATTAGATTCGATCAAATCTAACGAAAACTCGATAACATGAAAATATTTATCGGAATTTATTATATTCGCAACACTTGTATACTAGTACTGGACCACCAGTCCATACAAAAATGAACTTAGATACTTAGTAAACCATCAAGTTGTAAATTTTTACGGTAGCTTATGGTTTTATTATGTTAATTACAATAGTTAAGAATACAATGAACAATATCAGAAGTTAAAGTAGTCATAATCAGTGAGTTGACATTTCGACACTAACAACTTATACTACAATGTCTGGGACAGAATTTTATGGAGTTAGAAGTTGATTAAACGCCATATAAGCAACAGATATCCTGCCAAGAACAAAATAAGACTCGTCAACAATTCAGCAAGTGACCTGAGTCAGTCCTGCTAAATACAAAAATGTTCAATTAAAATCTGTTAACGATGACATCAAATTACATATTGCCTGTTTCAAGTGCTAAAACTTCGTAGCTCTTAGTGACAGACATAGAAATAATGGACAATGTTAAGCAGTACGAAAATACTATTGCGTGAAACTATTGGGCACGGTTATATGGGAAACATAAAGACAGAAGTTCCGCACGTACTCAACCTCGACCCATGGTTTATGAAGTTTTGGCAACTCAAATCAAGATAGAAAATAGGGTTTGAGCATCCAGGTTGATGGTTGAAACCCCTGCGCCATAGGGATTGTTACTGGTTGCGTAAAGAGAAAAAAATATGGGTACTTTAGACAACATAAAGTGCGACGAATGAATTGCTTCAAGTGAGAGGCCACTTGAATTGGAGAAGGAACTTTACATGGTTAGTTGGTCGGATGTCTGAATTTTTCATTTACTACGAAAATGAAAGAACTTGTCATTAGTGTATCAACAGATATCGGATGTAAATCAGACAGTTCCATTTAGTTTATAGGAACTAAAGTGTGTAATTTTTAATTTTATATGTAAGCGGCCGTTTTTGCTTCACTCTATGCACATAGATAATGAAAGGACACGTGGGAGTTAGCATTAAGAGTGAAATTTCATCTTCAAAAGTTTTGTGGTCGGATTTATTAGAAGCGCAGTAAAACGTGAGTACAGAGTGAGGGTTAGCTTCTTATGATGTTGAACAGTCCAGAGTTAATATATGTGTAGTTGGGAAGAAACCTACAATGTAGGGTAAACTGAACGAAAAACATAGGTCTACGCGATATTTCGTTTAACGTTCTTACTAACCAAGCACGATTATCATCATCCCAGAATCCAGATATAAGACCCTATGGAAGGATAAATGTACCGAGGAAAACAAAAATGATATCAATTTGCTTGTGCACATAGAGTTTTCATCCCAATTTTCTCGATTTTTCATAAAATGTTTGTACCAAAGTTACAGATATATAGATCTTATAAGGTTTAGAATATGAAAGTACTAAATATGACTCCAGCTCACGGTTTAACTAAGAAACATGATGAACTTACATTAAAAATGAGATTGATAATCGACAATCAACAATCTGTAAACCCAAGTTCAAAGTAATCGGTATATTTGACTGGACGCTTCTAACTCATGGCCTTGATGACTAATGTGTAAAACGTATGAAGTATAACAGTATGTTGGTTTTAAGCAAAATCGAATGTATCTTTTCGATGCCTTCATATAAGAAATTGGATGTACGGGACGAGCTCTTAATAAAGAATAGTTGGTAAATTAGCATGAGACTCTATTCATACTCCTGAAGAATAGTTGAATTCGCCTGTTGAATTCTTTCGAAGCTTTATGTACCACCTCAACTTGTAAGGAATTCCAAGTCCTAAACACTTTTACTCGGCACACGATATGTCTACAAAAGAGTCTACTACGCTGAACCTCTAATCTATGACTGTTCCATTCAAGGTATATGTTGAAACTGACCACTTGTAGGTATTTTAGAGAATGCCTAGGGATATTCGGAATCCTGAAAGTCATTAAAGGTTTGTCTCCAAGTTCACTCTACCCTATTAGTCGCCCTTCACAATGCTCGATTTGGAGTTACCAAACCGATTTCATGATTATTCTTTGAATATACTTGACGGTTTTCTTGTCCTAAAGTAAGGAACTAGGCACGATGTTTCCACTATCCAAGCAATATTGAATAAAGATCAGTGAAAAATTGCGCCACCAAGTTTTTCCAAAGCTGACTTCAAAGTTACTTTCACAAACTGGCTACGGAGTGACAACGAATAATTCACACTGGCCCTAAAAAGCTGATTTTTTCCGAGAGTTTATCAGTGGTGATTGTTTACCTATCGATTTAAGCTTACTGTTAAGGGAGCCATGATTACTTTACTCTTAAACTTATCAGAAACCGGAATGCAGTGCACCTACCTTAACCTTTCGATCGAGAATCATGGTTCACCACTCCTTCTGAATCAGTAGATTCATGATCCATGAGTAGACATTCTTAAGACTACGTTGTTGTGGTTAAAAAATTATGGATGATCTACAATCACTCATGCCATTTTAAATCAAGGATATCACGACGTTTGAGAGCATTGAATGAAGAGCTGTTATATTGTATTTCTTAAGATAATTACAGACAAAGAACATGACTAATAATCGGGTAAGCAATTCAAAAGTGATGCAACTAGGCATCTAGGTAGAGAGATAATTTCATATTCAGCTGATAGTTTTGAAGTACGTCCTCAAAACTTTTGAAAACTAAAATCCTTTATTCCACGTCCGGAATTTCGTTCTACACAACGAATTATGAATCATTGGGATTCTTCATCAGATTATAAAGCTCATTCATGTGAACGAGGCTAAGTCTTCTCAACACCACAGATCTACAGGATTCAAATGTGTCACCTGCCTTTCTCTATCTCGGCCACTATGTACTGCAAAGTCTGTATCGTATCAGTTTTCGAAACCTGTTTACATATTCTTACCACTGATTGCATAGATGTATAGCTGAACCCAAGGACAATACGAAGATATTTTCCAAGAACATCGTAGATACTGACAAAAATGGCTTAACGGAGTGTGACTCACCAAACCTGGATCCTACTGAGGAGAATATACATATTACCATTATAATCTATCTCTAGAAACCGATCTACTTGATATATGACACTGTTGAACTATTAACTGCTATAACAGAGTATCTATGATCAGAGGGACTCCGTTCATAGGTGGTCAAACAAAAAACGTCAGCTCGCATGACCTGTCAAGATCAATATATTGATGTATGCAGGACGGGAAAATATTTAAAGTATTCGTTGAAAAACCGTACTTCAAGGTACTTGAAAACGTCTTTAAATAGAAGGGCATTCAATCAGTTACCATTGCATCTCTGTCCGTTCTTTTGATTTCAGTCCTCTCCTTTATTGACCTAGATGTTAACATGGATACTATAACTACAATAAAATCTCCCAATATTACGCTACTTCTTACATTCACCTCCAATTCCTGCCTCCAATTTTTCTGAAAATAGAGGGATCATGTCCTTAATTTTAGTTTATTTAGTTTGAATTGAAAAATATGGCAGCTTTTTACTGGTACCCATAAAGACGCCACAAGTATTCGGAGTTTAAAAAACGCCTTTATCCGTGACACCTTAATGTTCGAAGTATACCAACCCAGTCAGAAC